GAAATCCTAAATTGTCCTAGGAGTTCAATTTTTTCTTTCTCCCTTATATTCAGTTGGTCCTCAGATCCTTTCAATTGTATTTCCAAGCATCTCTCTTTTTCTTTTTTTTTCTTTTTTGGCTGGGGTCTTCTTAGGTTACCCAGGTTGGGCTTGAATTCCTGGATTTAAGAGATCCTCCTGCCTCAGCCTCTCCAGTGCTGGGACTACAGGCCTATTCCAGGTCCTAAACATCTCTTGATTGTAATTGCACTGGTTGAAAATCTCAAAATTGCTCAGTTCTAATAATCCCTACTCCCTTGTCCCAGTCCCCTTTAAAATGTGAATTAGACCACGTCACTCCCAGGAAGCCACTTAATTCTTCCAGTGGTTTCCCATTGCTTTCAGAGGCACTTATTGTGGGATACAAGGTCCTTTGTATCTGGCTACTGTTTCCCTCTTCAGCTTCATTTCTTACTTCTTTTCCAAAGCTGCATGCTCTATTTATAGCCCTTGAAGACCATGTGTTTCTCTGGCTTCTGTGCTTTAGTCACACAATTCCTTGTGACTAAAGGTCCTTGGAAAGATCTTCCTTGTCTTTTCTTGGATCTTACTCTTTCAAGATTCCTCACATCTGCAGAGATATGAGAACCCTTTTTTTTTTTTTACCTCCCCAGGAGATTTAACTGTAGGAGTATGAATAGCCCACTGTCCATGCTCCTAACATACAGAGCTCTAGGGGCAAAAGACTTTATTTTACCTGTCAAGCTCAGAGCCCACAGTAAGATCTAGCTAGAGTACCTGCTCAGTGGATATTTTAATTATGATTATGATTATTTTGTGGTACTATGGGCTAAACCCAGAGGTACTTTACTACTGAGCCCTTTTGGTTTTTTTATTTTGATGCAGGGTCTCACTTAGTTGCCCAGGTTAGCCTTGAACTTGTGATCCACCTGTCTCAGCCTCCCAAGTATCAAAGGATATATATATATATTTTTAATATTTATTTTTTAGTTATTGGCGGACACAACATCTTTGTTTGTATGTGGTGCTGAGGATCGAACCCGGGCTGCACGCATGCCAGGCGAGCGCGCTACCGCTTGAGCCACATCCCCAGCCCCAAAGGATATTATTGAATGAAAGAAAGAATGAGTGAATATCAAAGTCATCTTAGTTGATGGCAGGAGCTGGGGTGGAGGACTATATGAGTCAGGAGCTAAAGTCCTGCAAGAACATGAGAGTTCTAGATTGTATCAGTCTCAAACAAGGAGTAATTCTTCCACGAAGATGGAACATAAATTGTAAGTTGTGAAGAATTAGACTCTTGCTGACCATATATAGTGACTCAGAAACATCAGGCAGGGAAGATTGCACAATCTCTGTTCAAGAGGATATATGGTCGAAAGTATTTTCGGTAGCTGCATGCAGTGGTGCACACCTGTAATCCCAGCTACTTGGGAGGCTGAGGCAAGAGGGTCACAAGCTTGAGACCAGCTTGGGCAATTAGCAAGACCCTGTCTCAAAAATTTTTTAAAAAGGGCTGGGACTGTAGCTGAGTGATGGAATAATTACTAGACCCTGGGTTTAATCTCCAGTACTTTCTTTTTAAAGTATCCATAGGGGAAGTCAGACAAATACTGGGAAAGGATATGGGTGTCTGGGGTCCAGAGGGTTTGAAGGAAGGGACTAAGAAGGCTAGAAAAAATAAATTTGGTTGAGATATAAGGTTTGATAATTTGTGTCTTTTATAGGCCTGTGACTAAGGTTCACTGTATGTTGAAAGGAGAGGTTTGCATTTCAGCAAAAGGAGAAGGCTTCCAGAAGGAGGTGGCACTTGGACTGCAAGTTTGTTTGTTTGCAGTGCTGGGATCAAACCCAGGCCTTGCATATACTAGGTGAGTGCTCTACCACTGAGCTGTACCCCAGCCCTGAGCCATATTTTAGAGAGGAGATGAAAGGGAGATGCTGCTTAGGCACACAGAGCCACAAATACAAAGGCAGAATTCTCAAGGGGAGGGAGGGCAGTTAGTAGTTAGGGTCTGGCATCAGGGAGTCTGTATTTGGCCTAAGTCACCTGACAAGTTATTTTTATATCTTGGGGCCTCAGTTTCCATTATTATAGGATAAGGATGATAATATTGTATTTCTTCTATTCTAAGATCCACTGCTTCTACACACTCCACTTTAAATGTTTCTTTTTTCTTTCTTTCTTTTTCTTTTTTTTTTAACAGCTAAAGAGAGATGGAACTCAGTTTTATTCTGTCCTCTCTGAAACTTTTCTTTTGCATCATGGCCTTGTCTATCAAAGAAGAAGAGGAAGAAAAAGCCCTGCCTTATTGCATAGAATTTAAGTACTTATGCACTTGTTAGAGGATGCAGGATATCTGTTTCTCCAGTTTTTTGGCTCTAAGAGATTACACTTTCAGTACCAGTGTAGTGAGGAACCACTGGCAAACTGCTGGAAATGTCTTCTGGATTAGTCAGTGTACCATTTCATAAAGTGCTTCTGGAGTTAAAATCTGTCAAGCTGTCAAAAGTGTCCACACTTTTGCAACAAAGGATAAAAGAATCCCAGTTGGTATTTCACCAACTCCTTTCCAGCTGGATTTTGTTATTGGCATTGCTGTTTTAACCTCCAAGAAGCTGGCCCTCACCCAGGAAAAGCCTCCCAGCCCTTCTTCAGGTAGTGTTTTGTACTTTGGATCCTCATCTGGTGTATCAACAATAGTCCTCAAAATAGATGGTGTTTTCAGAATTCTTGTCCTTCTGGGCTGATTGGGAAATACATCTTCCAAGAAAAATATACGTGTCCAACTGCAATACTTGAAAGTGTTTAAAAATTAATTCAGATTGAAGTACAGCTGAAAAGGTGTGATCAATTCCAATTGCACAGTGGTGGTGGTGAGAACGTAGGAAGTGATGTAGGTGCGGCTAACAGGTGGGATTTGCAGGTATTCCAGCTAGAGGCTCTGATACGTCATCTTTCCCATTGTCACCTGCCCATTCCCAACTTCCCCTTACACCAGTATGCCCAAGCGGCAGTTAATGTTTCTTAATTTAGGACCTATCTTAAAGTTGAAACTCCCCAATACTAGCTTTATCACAGGGCAGAGAAAAAAAAATGTATTATCACTAGCTGGACATATACAAATTTACGCAACCACAGAAAAATTTGTTCATTTGATAATTAGCTTAGTTGTTTGCATATGCAGTTGAGTTTTAATTTGGTCCCTCAAAGTGTCACCTTAGGTAACCTCTAAAAGACAATATTGTGATGAAGCATTAAAATAGTAAATTATTGTGTATGCAGATAGTTGTCATAAATTAGACACGCAGCTGAACAGTAGTAGAAATTGCCAACTCTTTTGGTAAATTTGACCAGAAGTTACAATACTAGAAAAGGTTGGCCTGGCCAGCTATGTAACTAATACTGAACATTTAACAATCAATAGTTTATAGATATCCATGAGAAGCTGTATTGATTCCAGAGGTATGCAATTCAATTAAAAAAATAAAAATCAAGTTTATAACCAAAGAGCAAACATACAAAATGCTTGCATATTCTTTGAAATATCTTAACATTATACTGCTACTTTCTAAAGATGCTAAAGAGATCAAAATATAAACACGGGTTCTGAAAAACAGTGTGCTGTAATGTTATACTTAGGTACATGGTTAACGGTTATATTAAGATTTTAGACTGTGAAAGCAAAACATCTTAGACTGAACCTTTGATTATGGCACCAGAGAAGAAAGTGGTGCAATTAAAGTAACCAACATTACTGAGTGATTACTAAGTGGCACTGTTAAGTAGACAACTTTATCAGATCAGTGGTGTTATCTTCATTTTAAAGAGAGAAAGCTAGGAGGTAAATCCAAGAACTTTGCTTCCAGATTCTTACTTGGTACCACTATGCTGTTAGAACACCCTACCTATGCATAATTATGAATACATCCCCTCTTTTTTTTTTTTGAATTGGGGATTGAAACCAGGGACTCTTTACTACTCAGCAATATTCCCAGTACTTTTTATTTTAAGACAGAGTCTCACTAAGTTGCTAACCGTCTTGCTAAATTGCTAAGGCTGGCCTCAAAGTTGCAATCCTCCAGTCTCAGCCTCCCCAATCACTGGGATTACAAATTGCACCACTGACCTAGGTTAAACAGCATCTTAAAATCAAGGAATATGGTAAATACCTGTCTTGTAGGAACAGGTGATCAGTATCTTAAAAGGCTTCTAGAAAAAGCGGATCAGAGGGGCAGGTGTTGCAAAGTGGAGTACAGTAAGTTTGATCTTCAGAACCCTATCATCGTAAAACAAGCGAAAACTACTGGGAGAAAAGTGTAAGGAGGGGTGTCTTCTGTTTTGACAGCATTCCTTCACACGAAATGCCCTCTCAAACTTGTCTAAATCCTTCTGTCTTTCGATGCCCATCCCAAATGACAGTTCCTTCAGGAAGTGGTTTCTGGTTATATGAAAAGATATATATGGGAGCAATTTCCAAATCATTAAGCGATGGAACCAATAAGTGAAAGATGGATGTTAACATTAAAGCTGTCTTCGCTCTTCTCCTGGCCTCAGTTTGTCTAACCTGAAAAGAAGCAGTGGCTTAGCCTATCCCTTCCTTTTATAATTTCTGCCCCTGCCCTCTTCAGATTTCTGCTAAAGCTGCTTTAAAGAGCAAATCTTCTCAGAGCTGCAGGAGGCGGATCCTTGGCGCTGGCAGTTCAGTAGGGCGGGGCTGGGGAAGCAAGAGGAGAGGCGGGGGCTAGGAGGGAAGCGCGGAGCGATGTCACGTGACTTCCTTCCCAAGGAGCCTCAGCGGCCAGCCTCCCAGCAACGGTGCGTCCCGCCTAACGACGCCCGCGCATCCCGGTTGGCCGTCGGGGGTGGTTGTGGCAAGGAGGTGCCCACGGTCAAGCTGATCATTGGTTGGAGCTGTTGTCGCTCAGGCACGTTGCCCGAGCGCCCGCAGGCGGTGCTGCCGGAAGCCCCGCCCATTAGCCGCCGGGTTCGTGGCTGGCTGGCCGTGGCTGTCACTCCCGGGCCATTTCCCCGAGGCCAGCGCTCTGCTGGGGGCGGGAGGAAGAGGGGCCGGACTGGGGCCTGACGAGCGGTCGCTGTCTTCACGGATGCTATGACCAGCGGGCGAGGCGCCCTCCGCAGCTCCGCGCAGTGTTAGTCGCGGCCGTGAGTCCACTGAAGCCGTCTGGGTCTCCAGTGCGGCCGCTTCCGCGGGCCCCTCGGCTCTCCTAGCGCTGCCCGCAAGGCGAGGCGGAGGTAGGATGAAGATGACGGTGGATTTCGAGGAGTGTCTGAAGGACTCGCCCCGCTTCAGGTAACCGGCACGGCGCCTGGCCGGCGTCCCCCCAGAGCCGCCTTCCCCGGCGGTGGGGGCGTGAAAGCTGGCCCCGCGGAACGGGAGGAGGCCCCGCAGTCCCTGCCTTCCGACGGGGCGAGCGGCGCTTGCCTCGCTTCCCACCCGGCGAGGGCACTGTCGCTTTCCACTGGCCTTTCCCGAGGGTCGAGGCGTGGCTGAGAAGGGGCCGGAGCCTCCTCACCGTCTTTTCCTTGCCCTCTGCCTGGGGCGGAGCGCCCCGGAGACTCGGTGTACCCTCTCCCGCCTAGAGGAAACGGGGTGCAGCCGCGTTCCCGAAGTCTCGTCCCTTTTGCGGGCGCGCGCTCTCGCCCCCTTCCTCTTCTTGCTGCTCTTCCTTTCCCTTTCCTTACGCTCCTTCTTGGTTTCCACCCCCTCCCCACCCCCTCTTTGAGTGAGCTTTCAGGGCATCCTCTTGCAGTTCACTTAGTTCCTCTTTGCGCTTTTCCGCTCCCCTTAGCCGGGGGAGGAAGGAGTAGGGGGCGAGCTGGGACGTCTGCGTCTGCTGCTGCTTGTGGTCTCCTGCCAGAGGAGCGCTCAGGGAGGCGCTGGCAGTTGATTTGATCGGGAGTCGGGGCTGGGGGTGCTTTGACCAACCGCATTCCATCGACCCTAGTTCGTGACTGTCTTTGCTTTTCTTTCCACATAAGCTCTTTGAAGGGGGCTACGCTGTGGGGAGGTACAGGGCTGAAGGGCGAGGACTAGGAGAAGCAGTGCATTTCTGTTTTGAGAACGGAAGTAGGAGGGCCCTGAAGATTGCATTTATGTTACTCTTCTAGCCGCCTCGGCCCTAAAGGGCCCTGGATCCCAGTCGGATACTCCCAGTGGATGGATGTGTCACATAAATCGACCTGGTGGCATTCCTATTCACTATGGATTACCCTTCCTTCTGTGTGAGAGGCAGTAGTTCTGAGTAAGACCAGAATACATGCTCATTCCTAGGGAACTCTTGAATTGTTCTGGAGATTGGAAATTTTTGTAGTTCTATTTTACAGTGCATTTGCAGGGCTGGCCTTCTACTTCAACAAAATAAGGCCTTAAAACTTCCTTTAGATAGTGACATTTTTTGAAAGCTTCCTCTGAATGTCTGTGTGTATGTGCCTGCCGATCTCCCTGCCAATCCTTGAGAGTAAATTCTTGCATCCTCTGCCTGAGAACTAACTGTTCTCATCCTTATCACTGTTAATTTGATTTCCCATTCTCCTTTTAGTGAAAAGCAAGGAAAAACGACATCTAAAATGAAGGAACACCTACTTCTTAGAGAAAATTTTAGAACACTTTGACTTTTGATCTTTTCTGGTTTTTAATTTTATTTGGAGCTTAAGGCTATAGCTTGCAAAAGAAACTTGGTTTGATTTCTATTGTTGCTATTAGATATTGAAACTTTTATGTTATGGGTGAATTGAAGGACTTATCCACAAATGGATTGTCTAGAACAGCCTTGCAGGTTAATTTCCAGGGATGGGCTACAAATGCATTAATTTTTAAAGAGTACCTTAGAAAGTTCTGCTTTTTGTGACATTTCTATTAATATGACTCAGCTGTTTATTTTTAAGTGAACTAATCACAGCATTTTTCTGTTTAGAGAATGCAGCTTTGTGCTGCCTTTATTTCACATTTAAAATTTGATATTTTTAAATAAACAATTTGAGAAGTGATTTGGAGACACTTCTAGCCATTTGGCGTTGATCACAAACCTTGTAATTCCTTTGTTTTTAAAATAAAAGAATCATTGAATACAATATAAGGGAAACATTAAGTTTTGTGGTGCAGAACTTTTGCTAAACTTGGATGTAGTATATATTTTAATAGAGTTAAAGATTTTCAGAAGTTTTTTTTTTTTCTGGTATTCTAGTTATTTGTCAGCTGCAAATAGGGAAAAAAATATCAATATTCCAAGAACTCAAGCATTTTGTATACTTTGTTGAGGCTAGATTAGATTTGTAGTAGCAGGAAGAATGCCGAGAAATAGTCTCATTATTCACATTCCTAAAATTTGTAGTTTTTCTATTATCTGTTACTATGTAGATTTGTGTAGTAGTTGAATAATATGTTTCATAAGTCTATTTATATGTGTAGGAATAGTACTCATTTTTATGAGTATTGGAAATCATATCAAAATAGAAAATTTGTGAGGGCTGGGCTTTTTTTTAATTTAAAATTAAAAAACGATTAGCAAGGATGGTGGAATGTGATGGACATCATTATACAAAGTACATGTATGAAGACTTGAATTGGGTGTCAACATACTTTATATACAAACAGATACAAAATTGTGGTATATATGTGTATTAAAGAATTGTAATACAAAAAAAAAAAAAAAGAATAGGGTTACCTTAGATTAGGTAGAGGGAAGTGAAAGGAGGGGAAAGCAGGGGATGCGGGGATAAGAAAGATAGTAGAATGAAACAGACATTATTACTTTATGTATATATGTGACTGTATGACCAATGTGATTCTACAATATGTATAATCAGAAAAATGAGAAATTATATCCCATCTATGTATGATATATCAAAGTATATAAGTGCATTCTACTGTCATGTATAACTAATTAAAACAAATAAAAAATTTAAAAAAATTAAAAAACTTTTTTGTGGCACTGGGGATTGAACCCAGGAGTATTCTACCCCTTACCTACCTCCCTGTATGCGCCCCTCATCCCTGCCTTGCTTTTTAAAATTTATTTTGAGATAGGTTCTCACCAAGTTGCCCAGTACAAACTTGCAGTCCTCTTGCCTCAGCCTCTCAGTAGCTGGGTTTATAGGGTGTGCCATCACTCCCAGCTGGCTTTGTTTTATTGATAGCAAGGCAGCTGCACTTGTAGTGTCCTGATCTATTGTGTCATTTTTACATTAATTTTTTTTTTTTGTACTGGAGATTGAACCCAGGGATGCTTCACCACTGAACAAAATCCCCAGTGCTTTTTTATTTTTTATCTTTAGACAGGGTCTCACTAATTTTTTTAGAGTCTTGCTAAATTGCTGAGGCTGAACTCAAACTTGTGATCCTCCTGCCGCAGCCTCCAAAGTTACTGGGATCACAGGTGTGCGCCATCATACCCAACCATCTTTACACTAATTCTTGATTTTATTTTCTTTCACAAATGAATCATACAGCATTTAAATCTGGTGTGTGCACATAACTGCCTTGAGTGCTGCAGGATGAATGCAAAAGGCAAATCTTGCTGAAGAAAAATTTTTACCACTGTTCAAGTTTTAAAACATTAATTTTCTTGTTAAATGGATGAGAACATAGGAGGGGGACTGGTTGAAATAGGGAGAGAAGGTTATTGTGGTTGCAACATTGTCTTTAGTAATTTAAATAAACCCAGTGGTTACTTGTACATTCCAATGAAGGAGTTTTAGTTTTTTTGTTTTTAGATTTGAGGGCCTATTTCATTGTATAATTTTGGATTCCTTTTTAGTTTTTAAAACATCAGTCTAATATTAGCTTAAAGGTCAGAATCTTGTTCATTTAAAAATCTACAAGAATGTAAATGTGTCTAAGTGTACTGTTTTTTAAGTGGAAATTTTACATTTGACCAAAACATTCAACGTTTAAAGTTTGAATTTGGGTGCCAAATTGTATGTAGTTATTTAAAAATTCATAAACTTGCAATAAAGTTTCTTTCCTTTATTTAAACATATTCTAGCTTACTCAGGAAATGAATATTTTGTTTTAAATAAAAGGTTGAATTAAAATTTTCTGAATCATGAAAAATTTTTGTGTTGATCAATGTTCAAATATAAAAATGTTGGCCTTAGTAAGCTTTCAACCATGTAATATCTGTCTACTATATTGACTTTTCCAAAATTTTTTTTTTTAGTTGTCAATGGACCTTTATTTATTTGTATGTATTGCTGAGAATTGAACCCAGTCCCTCACACATGCTATGCAAACACTCTACCACTGAGCAATGACCCCAGCCTTTATATTGATTTTTATCCTTTATCAGTGTCTATTTTATATCATACTGGAGGTTTTTCATTTGTAGATTCTATTTCAGATATATTTGTTCAATAACTTAGGAATAAAAATTTCTTAAAAAGATGGATTCGAGGGCTCGGGATGCGGCTCAAGCGGTAGCGCGCTCGTCTGGCATGCGTGCGGCCCGGGTTCGATCCTCAGCACCACATACAAACAAAGATGTTTGTGTCCGCCGAAAAACTAAAAATAAATAAATAAATTCTCTCTCTCTCTCTCTCTCTCCCCCCCTCTCCTCTCTCTTTAAAAAAAAATAAAAATAAAATGGCATAATCATTTAAAAAAAAAAAAAAAAAGATGGATTCGAGTGTAGGTTTTTACTGGGTGAAAGACATTGGGTAGAATGTCACAATCTATATTGTGATTATATTTTGCGGTTAAACTGGTGCCAATCCTGGCTGATTTGCCAGTTTACATTCCACTTTTATAACAGATAAACTCTTCATACACTGAAAACATTCTTAAATGGCAATTTATACATCAGAAATATAGTGGGCCAAGCAATAAGAGGAAGAGAGTTTTCATCTTTGAAGTGGTGGAATGGAATTATAATTTTAGTATTAAAATATGGGAATTCTGATATTTCTTATTGAAGCTTCTAACTCATCATTTGTAATATCACTTCCGTTGATATAAAGGAACACAAGTTTTATAATGTGCCAGACCTCAGACTAGTTGCTTTTATAATTTCTCTCTTCTTCAGCTGTTGAAATATCCAATGGAATAAGAATTATTTTCCTTATTTTAAAAAAATATTTATGAGAAATCCCAAACTGGATATTTTGAAAGGTTAATTAATTTTCTTAATGGTAAGGTTTCAAAATGATGGACCTGGAAGTGAATCCACTCATTTTAAGAGGCTCCCTTATCTGTGGTTTTACTTTCAAGGTTTCAGTTACCTGCTCTCAGTCTCGGTCTGAAAATAATTAAATGGAAAATATAGAAATAATTCACAAGTTCTAAAATATTTTCCT